TGTAAAATGTTGGTCTCACGGGTCTCACGAAAACAGGCTGGTCTCACATGATCCCAAGTCTCTCTCTCTCTCTCTCTCTATATATATATATATATGTATATATAAATTGAAGTATATGTTCATATATGAATCCGTGTAATTCACATATGAACTAATTAGCTAATTCATATATGAACCCGTTGGTTCATACGTGAATTACACGAATTCACATATGAACTTGTTTTGTCGTTTATTTGTAAAAAATTATAAAACTATCCTTTTATCTTCTGCATATCATGCAAGAGAATTATCAGCTGCTTTACAGTCAAAGGCACTAATATTAACTAGATGAAGGGTTATGATTACTTCTTTAATATTTTATATATTTACTTGTTAAATAAACCTCTCCCTAATAAAATATATGTATATATTTTGTTTTGTTTAATTTTTTCAGAAGATAATTAGCAAAAAAGGTAAGAAGAAAAAATTATCCTTGGCTTTGACAAAGGTTATTAACGAAGTTAGTGATCAGGGACCATTTTCAAAGTAAAATGCAACCCATAAGGATGATTTGCATTTCGCAGAAGTACGGTATTAGACTCGCAAAAGACAAGTGAAAAGTCTCTTCGTGGTAGCGGGACTTGCTTCTTTTCTTTGCTATTGAATCTGCTATGCGGTTCTCCCCAAAAAACAAATAAAGAGTGAGTGCTCACTTTTTCTTGAGTCAACAATAATCCAGAGGGGCACCACCCCCTAGCTTTTTTGTGCCAATAGTTAGAGTTTTGACTATCTAGGCAGAACAACATCACCGATTTTTAGTAAGAAACTGAACTGGTTTATCCCGGAGTAGTAACTCCATTCCGAAATTCTGCATTCTTTTTCCTTCCTCACCTGCTGAGACAAATAGTTGACTTACACGCCCTATTCAATAGATGGACCTTTCTTTATATAGGCTGATAACCATCACGACAACATAAAAAGGAAGGAGTAACATTCCTTTGTGGTGTCATTGTGTATTTTAATTGTGTTTAGTCTTTGCCGATTATAAATCACTTTGTCGCGGTTGGTAAGGAATTTTCAAAGGTAGACTAGTCTAACATCATTCTCCTTCAGGTCTTACCAACACCTCTTGCATTCAAAGAACTACCACATTCTTAATGTCGTGATGCTAGATTAGGGCCAATGTTGCGCTCCCTGCGGGTAATAGCAAAAGAGTGAAGAAGGAATGATCCTCCAAACTAAAAGAGTGTTTCCTGTCCTGTGCTTTCCCGTCCTTCCTTTGAATCGATGGCATAATCAGTCTCCAACCCGCCAATGAAATGAAGAGAAGGCCTACACCCATGCTCTCTGGAGAAGTCTTCTCTAGAAGTTTTCTTTCTTCCTTTACTTGTTGTTTGTCGCTCGTACTCCCTATCTAGGAAGCTACTCGACCTACAGGAGAGGTGCTAGAAGGTAGAAATTTATCAAAGTTTAGGTCTCATTTTCAAAAAAATTATTCCTCAGGGACTAAAACTGGAGTTTACTCTTTGTTAGAGGGTAAAGTCTAAAAACTATTAAACTATATATAAAACCAACAATACAGTAATTACAGAGAAGCCCCTGATTAGTTTACATGTTTCAATGCAATCCTTTCCTGTGTTTGGCTGCTGTCACAGAAGAACTCCTCTGGCCTTACTGCCGCTGAGGATGCTATCATCGTCTTCATCAAACCCTAACCCTAACTCTACCTCAAGCTCATTGTACTCTACCATGAGTCTTAATCCCGATTCTTCACCATCATCTTCGACGAGAACCCCTAATCTTCTTCCTCTATTTACTAATCCACAAACACCTCACATCAACTGTAAAGGTCTATCTCAAGGCGTTACGATCTCCAATGGTTTTTCTTCATCTTTCTCTTCCGTTGCCGCCAATACAGTTTCCGTTTCAGGAATCGAAGAATCGGGAGATACCGAGGAGCTTCAACTTGTGGTGGTGTCATTTTACAAGTTTGCTGATTTTCCGGACCATGCCGATTTGCGTAAGCCCTTGAAAGAGCTATGCGAGAAGCTGGTAAATATTTACTATGCATTGTTGTTGGATTAATTTTAATTGAAAATTCTGCCTATTAAACGATGATTCAGAAGAAAACATCTCTTCATATCGGTTTTCTTAATGAATGTGATGAATGTGATTACGAGTATTCTTCTAATCATATCAGTTCATATCGAGGGTAAATTTTAAGTATTGACATGTTAACGTTGTGTAATAGACAAACGTGAACGATTCCCTGCTTATTTTACATTTGATGTGCAAAAGGAGCCGCATGCAAGTAATTATTGGTATATCGAGGGTGTTTGTAGGATCATTTACAAACCAAATCAAACAAACTCAGTAACCCACTAAATCCCATGTAGAGGTAGGTTCTGGGGATGGAGGATCTACTTAGACCTTTCCTCTGCCCCAAGGGGTAGAAAGGATGTTTATGATAAGACCCCTGGACTTGCAAAGAAAAAGAAACAAGAGAGCAAGTTACAAGTGTGAGTGTGTGCAAACAAACAATGGGAAATGGTAACGGTGATAAGAAAGGCAGCAGGACCAAATGTGAGGAGAGTAGGTTACAACAAAGAAGAAAACATAGAACGCAGTACCGACAAGTAGCTACAATACTAGAAGCATGTTAGATATGAATGGTAGGAACAATAGGATACAAGACAACCCTCCATATAACTTAAGACACTAGTAACCTATCTACCACTGTCCCAAGTCTCACTCTTTCTCTCCCCTATACCCCTCCTCTTGTCACCTATAGTCTGCTACCCTAGTTGCACGTATCCAAGTGCTTCCATTAGAGATCATGTCCTCAGAATTGTCTAAGACAACCATGTCCATCCTCAATTCATGTTCTCCTTGGCCTGCCGCTCGTTCTCCTTGCTCTATTGTCATACTCTATATCCTTCTCATAGGTGGCGAATGTGTCTCCAGCGTATGTGTCCAAACCACCGTAATCATTCCTCAAAAAAAATTCCATGATACGTGCAACTCCCAACTCTGCCTGAAAGATCTCGCTCGATATCATGTCTGACATGGTCCAACCACAAGTCCACTTGAGCATCCATTTTCGAAACTTCCAAAATCCTCTCAAGCATCTGTTTCATTGCGAAATACTTCGATCCATATAACATAGCTAGTCACCTTCTAAGGTTTCCCCTTCAGTTTTAGCAGAACCTTCCTGTCGCATAGAACTCAAGTGGCGGTCCTCCACTTTAACCACCTTGTCTTTATGTGATGTGTTACATCATCCTATCCCTCTCTCTCTTTCTGGATTATGTATCCTAGATACTTGAACCTGCCTGTTTGGGATACCATTCTATCCACAACGTTGACTTATACATCCTTGTGGATATGTTCCCTGTTGAAGTTGCACCAAAGATATTTATTTGGTCTTGGGGCGACTAATATGCAAGCCCTGTGTTTTCAAATTCACCCTTTACTGCTCTAGTCTCTAGTTCACTTTTTCTCTTGACTCTGCTAGACCCCTACCAACGCGGTGGGATTGTCGGCGAATAACATGCTCCGTGGAACACTACCCTAAATTCGTTGGGAAATCTCTTCCAAAATCATAACAAAAAGGAATGGACTTAGTGTCGTTCCCTGGTGTAGTCCTATATGTACCTCGAAATACTCTATTTCCCTCATCTCCTGACACATGTCTTAGCTTCCCTATACATATCTTGTAGTACACATTTACACTGAATTACCTCGATGGTACCTATTTCTCCTTTGGGCTCCTCCAAATCATGTCTTATGGCACACTATCATAAGATTTTTCCATGTGACACCAAGTATAGACCCTTACTGTGCTCCAAATACTTTTCCATGGATCGCTGAAGGAGGTGGATTGCCTCTATCATCAAGCTTCCTGACATGAAAAGTCAAATTGGTTCTCCATCACTGCTCATTCGTTTCGTTCCCTAGCCTCAATCACACACTCCCACAATTTCATTATGTGGCAGTGTGGCTAAGTAGCTTTATACCTCGATTGTTGGCACTGCACCACCTATGCTCTTATATAGCACCACCACCTCACTAAGTCTCCACTCTTCAGGTATCTTGGCAGTTTTAAGGGCGATGTTAAAGAGTTATGTCAATTACTGTGCACCCGCCTCCGCGAGACGCAACCATACCTCAATGGGTATCTGGCACGGGCCTACGACCTTGCCCTTACCCGTCTTCTTTATGACCTTCTCACTTCCCCTATGCCATTCTCCTACAAAAGCATTGATTGCATAACCGTCGTAGAACCATTTGTGTTTCTAAATAAATACTTACATGTTCCACATAGTAACCTTTGGGATTTCTATGCTCATCACTTGTGACAATTTGGGAAATTCAAAATTTAACTACGCCTAGTTTGTGGAAGTGATGATTCAGTTTCTCGACAACTAGAAGTGATGGTTATTCAAGGATCAGATCCAGGCAATAGATAGATTGCTATCATGAATTTAGATCTGGGGATGATCTTCCACAAACTTATTTTGCATTGTGTTTATATAAGATATGGAGTTTGTGGAAATTCATATCTTGTGATATTAACGAGGCTTGATAACTCAAATATATGTTGGACCTGTGCTGTGCAGATGGTTCAACAATGTACAAGTCAATTATGCTTTCATTTATGCTTTGATCAATAAAGACCGGTTCTTCAGCTTTTTTGAGGACCACGTTTTTTTAGATAGGCTTTGATTTTGTCTTTTATAGTTGCTGATTTTTAGGCTTCTTAATAGTAGCTTTCTCTCTCTGTAATGGCTATAAAGCCAATAGCTTTTCTTGATTTTTGATATATGAACTCCAAACTTTGGCTTACGAATAAGCTTGCTGTATTCAACTTTGTTTTTATCCAAGTGACTTTCTACGTTACAATTGGTATCAGAGCACCATAAAGGGACTGATTTTTGAAAGTAGACAAACACGAGCGACTTCGTGAGGTAAACACGAGTGTGAGTGTAAACACAACAGCTTCTTCGATAAGGAAGAGAGAGTAACAAGGTATGTCGAACAAAGGACAAAACCTGCTGAGCATCCCGAAATTTGACGGAGACTACGATTATTGGAGGATGTTGATGGAAAATCTCCCTCGATCGAAAGAGTGTTGGAACTGATTGAGCCCGACTACGTTGAGCAGCAGACACAAGAGAGACAGAGGCCGAGAAGACTGCACGAGAGCAGTTGAAGCTGAAAGATCTAAAGGTAAAAAACTACCGTTTTCAGCAATCGATAAGAATATTTTGAGGACTATTCTGCAGAAGGAGACCGCAGCACAACTCTGGGAGTCGATGAGGAAGAAATATCAAGGTAATGCAAAGGTAAAGAGAGCTTAACTACAAGCTCTCAGGAGAGAATTCAAAGTACTAGAGATGAAGGAAGGAGAAACCATAACCGACTACTTCGCCAAAGTAATGTTGGTGGTAAACAACATGAGCAGTAACAGAGAAGTAATGCGAGAATCTCAGATTGTAGAAAAGATCTTGAGGACTCTCACGGAGAAATTCAACTACGTTGTGGTGTCCATTGAGGAGTCTAAAGACATCGATACTCTCTCTGTTGACGAGCTTCAAAGTTCGTCGGTGGTCCATGAACAAAAATTTCGGAAGAAGGCTAAGGAAGAAGAGCACGTACTGAAGGTGACACCAAATGAAGGATTAGGAAGAGGTCGAGGCAGAAATGTGAATGGAAGCTTTAAGGGTCGAGGATGAGGGGGATCCTCACCAAGAAAAGCTATCGTGGAGTGCTATAAATGTCACAAACTCGGACACTTTCAGTTTGAGTGTCCAGAGTGGAGAAACAGGGCCAACTTTGCAGAAATGGATGAAGAGGAGCTTATGCTTATGGCATCTATTGAACATCAATAAGGTTCAATTGAGGAGGTTTGGTTCTTTGATTCAGGGTGTAGTAATCATATGAGCGCCTGAGCGGCAACAAAGCATGGTTCATAGACTTGAATGAGAATTTCCAACAAACCGTGAAGCCAGGAAACGACAGTCGAATTACTGTGTCTGGAAAAGGAAATGTGCGCATGGAAGTTAATGGCGTTACTCAGGTAATCACCGACATGTACTATGTTCCTGAGCTTAAATCTAATCTTCTAAGTGTTGGCCAACTACAAGAGAAAGGGTTGGCCATCTTAATTCAACACAACGTGTTTAAAGTATTTCATACAAGAAGAGGGTTGATCATGCAATCTGAAATGAGTATGAATAAGATGTTCTATTTCAATGTAGCCTTGGCAGCCAAGACCTCCACGTGTTATCAGACTCTAGTGGAAGATGAGTCACAGCTTTGGCATTCTCGATTTGGTCATCAGCACTACAAAGCACTCAGAACTCTAGTTGACAATGGAATGGTTGAAGGAATGCCAGCAATAAGAACTCCACAAAAGTTGTGTACCTATTGTCTGATAGGAAAACAACATCGAGATTTCATTTCAAAGAAGTCTTCATGTAGAGCCACACAGAAGCTTCAACTTATACACTCAGACATATGTGGTCCTGTAAGTCCTATTTCCAACAGTAAAAAAAGATATTTTTTGAGTTTCATAGATGATTTTTCTCGAAAAAATCTGGATTTATTTGTTGAATGAGAAATCAGAAACATTCAATAAATTCAAGAATTTTAAGACTTTGATCGAGAAAGAAGCAGGCACTAGCATCAAATGCTTAAGGACGGACAGGGGCGGGGAGTTCAATTCAAATGAGTTCGCGGAGTTCTGTAATGAACATGGAATTAATCGCCAACTTACACCGGCATATACACCACAACAGAACGGTGTAGCCGAACGCAAAGCTAGAACAATCATGAACATGGTTCGTTCTATGTTAGACAAAAAACAAATGCCGAAGGATTTCTGGGCAGAAGCGGTCAATTGGTCGGTACATATCCTCAACAGATATCCAACTTCAGCATTGGAAGGAATGACTCCTCAGGAGGCCTGGTCATGTACGAAACCTAGAGTAGATCATTTTCAATTTTTGGATGTTTAGCTTATGTTCACATACCAGATCAAAAGAGACATAAGCTTGATGATAAAAGCAAAGTTCAAGTGTTTCTTGGTGTAAGCAAAGAATCCAAAGCGTACAGGTTTGTTGATCCTGTTACTCGAAAGATTATTGTAAGTCGAGATGTGAAGTTTGAAGAGAATGAAGGCTGGAAGTGGGAAAAGACCGAGAAAGATAAGAAAAGTCATGTGCTTGAATGGCCGGACAGTGATCCAGATTACAATGATGAAGGACGGGAAAGATCAGATGAAACTAACTCCATGTCTTCTGGTTCAAGCTCTCACAACAGTGAAGACAACTCACCATCAAGCACAACAGGTAATAGCACCCCAAGTTCTCAAAGTGAAAGGGGTCAAAGGGCTCCTGGTGAAAGGATTCGAAGGACTCCTGCACGGCTGTCTGATTATGTTACAAGTGATGATCTTTCTGAAGAAGAAGCTATGATGGTGCGATCCGAAGATCCAATAACTTACGATGAAGCAATGGAAGATAAAAAATGGAGAGACGCGATGATGGAAGAGCTGGAGTCGATAGAAAAAAATAAAACTTGGAAACTCACAAGTTTACTAGAAAGATGCAAAGCTGTAGGTACCAAATGGATATTCAAGACAAAGTTAAACGAAAATGGTGAAATTGAGAAACACAAGGCAAGACTCGTAGCTAATGGGTATTCTTAGCAATACGAGATCGACTACACAGAGGTCTTTGCACCAGTTGCTCGTCTTGACACCATTCGAGCTATCCTAGCAACAACAGCTCAAAATGACTGGGAAATCGTTTCAAATGGACGTCAAAAGCGCATTTCTTCCAGGGGACTTGGAAGAGAAGGTCTTTGTTCAACAACCGGCTGGTTTTGAAGTTAAAGGTGCCGAGGAGGTGGTGTATAAGCTACACAAAGCGCTCTACGGCTTGAAACAGGCGCCAAGGGCCTGGTATAGTCGCATTGAGTTCTATTTTATTAAAGGACTCAAGAGATGTACCAGTGAACATACACTCTTTACAAAAGAAAAGGAGGGAGGCGTTTTACTGATAGTGAGTTTATACGTAGATGATCTGATCTACACAGGAAATAGTAGAAGGTTGTGTGAAGAGTTCAAGAGTTCTATGATGACTGAATTCGACATGTCCGATCTTGGAAAGATGAGACATTTTCTGGGAAAGGAAGTCTTACAGAACAAGAAGGAATCTTTATTTGTCAAAGGAGATATGCAGAAGAAATTTTGGAAAGGTTTGGTATGGAGAACAACAACCCTGTTGGAAATCCAATAGTGCCAGGAACGAGAATTTCCAGTAACAAGGAGGGAACGAGGGTTGATTCCACCAAGTTCAAGCAGATTGTTGGGAGTCTCATGTATTTAACTTCAACAAGGCATGATATTACTTACGGGGTGAGCTTGATTAGCAGATATATGGAGTCTCCTACCGAAGAACATTGGTGTGCAACAAAGAGGATTATGAGATATGTTCAAGGCACTACTGAGCTAGGAATACTTTACAAGAGGGAAGAAAATTCAGAGCTTGTGGCATACTCGGACAACCACTTTGCCGGTGACATAGACGATAGAAAAAGTACGTCTGGTTCGGTGTTTCTACTTGCTGGTGGTGCGATTTCTTGGTCATCAAGGAAACAACTGGTAGTGACGTTGTCTACCACCGAGGCCGAATACATTGCAGCAGCAACATGTGCGTGTTAATGTCTTTGACTTAGAAGAATTCTTGTAGCACTTGGGCATGGAGAAGGAAAAAGAAGCATAATTCAGTGTGACAATAGCTCAACAATCCAACTTTCAAAACAGCCTGTGTTTCATGGTAAGAGCAAACACATTGACATCAAGTTTCATTTCTTAAGAGATCTAGTGAGTGATGGAAAAGTGGAACTGAGCTATTGCAGTACTCCGGATCAAATTGCCAATGTTTTGACAAAACCGTTGAAGAAGGAACAGTTTGTTAAACTTCGAGGGTCACTGGGTCTCGTTGACATATTGGAGGTAAGCTGATACTCTATGGTGTTCAGCTTAAAGGAGGGATTGTTGGACCTGTGCTGTGCAGATGGTTCAACAATGTACAAGTCAATTATGCTTTCATTTATGCTTTGATCAATAAAGACCGGTTCTTCAGCTTTTCTGAGGACCACGCCTGTTTAGATAGGCTTTGATTTTGTCTTTGATTGTTGCTGATTTTTAGGCTTCTTAATAGTAGCTTTCTCTCTCTGTAATGGCTATAAAGCCAATAGCTTTTCTTGATTTTTGGATATATGAAGTCCAGACTTTGGCTTACGAATAAGCTTGCTGTATTCAACTTTGTTTCTATCCAAGTGACTTTCTACTTTACAATATATTCCCAGTTTAAGTTAGTTGACATAACAGATGCATGTCAACCAGGAAACTTAGAATCTGTATGATCTTTGATGATCGCTACTGCCCAACCATTGATACTTTGTCGATCCAGCAACTTGAAGCGGAAGTTCCTGTCAAGTACAAGCATATGAAAGAAATGTGGGGAAAAGATGTTTTGGAATTCCATTGATTACCTTCCCACCATCATAATAGTTATCATGTCTTGCATATGCGCAAAACTGTCATTTTAAATATCTTAATCCTACTTCTCAATCAGATTGCTTTGTGTCACACAATTGCTTTCTTTAGTTCTGTCTCATGCTTGTTATGATTCTTTCTATCCTTGTAATTCATACCCCTCACCCAACTTATGCCTTTCAGTACATTTCAGGTGGTATCATTCTTGCTCCAGAAGGAATTAATGGCAGTATATGTGGCATCCGGAAATCGGTTGAAAAAGTTCTTGACTTCATTCAGTCTGATGATCGCTTAAAGGGTCTTCGACTAATAGAGTCACCTGTAAGCCCTGAAGAAGAAGCCATTCACCATGGACACACAAGCAGTTCTCCACTTGCTGCAGGAGAAGATGCTCCATTCAGATGGGACCATGTGAGGGTGAAGCTTAAAAAGGAGGTAATTGCACTAACCAGATCAGTGATTCAGTTATGTTTTGGAGTTGTTAAGTTGCAGGGAACGATTGTCTGTTGATGGTTTCAATTAGCTATTTCTTATATATTATTTAGTTTTATGTTTGTGCAGATAGTTTCCCTTGGAATGCCGTCGGTATCTCCTAATGAAAGAGTTGGGAAATATGTCAGCCCAAATGAGTGGAATTTATTGATCAGTGATCCAGATACAGTAAGCCCCTCAATTTGGTTAACAGTTGGTATCTTCTTCTTATTTTCCCATTTTGAAGCTTATGTTGTTGGGCCATCATTCAGCTCTACTAAGTCCCTTCTTTTCCTATCATTTACTCCTTCCTTTCCAAAATAGATATCTACAACGGAAAAGCACACATTCTTTTCTCGAAATGTGTAATTATTACACTTTTTTAATGAACTAAATGACAATGGAGTAATGAATTCTCCATCTCATAATTAAGGGTGAAATTGGAAAGTAGGCACTTATTTATTAAAGTGGACACTTATTTTGGGACAAACTAAAATAGAAATGTAGATACTTATTTTTGGACGGAGGGAGTATTACAATTGGGTCCTGCAGGTGCAAACAGTTCCTACCCAGAGCTTGTACGATCTTCCATTTTAGATTTCATGACTAATGGAATTGAAACCTCTTTACTCTATCTCCCACTGGAACTCTCCTCTAGACCTCACAAGCCGGCAAGCCTTGGTTCAATGTGGTCACCCGACCATTATGAACTGAAACTAACTTTTTTTTATTTATGGATGTTTCGCTAGGTTGTCATTGATGTTCGTAATGACTATGAAACCAGAATTGGCACGTTTAAAGGGGCAGTTGATCCACGTACCACAGCTTTCAGGGAGTTCCCAGGTTGGGTGGATGATCAATTTCAACTTTCTCTACCAGATGTCCAAGTGGAATGCAGAGATTCATCTGATGAAGCTGAAAAATATAACGAGGAGGGACGGAAATCTCCACCTCGTGTTGCAATGTATTGTACAGGTGGAATTCGGTGTGAAAAAGCTTCAAGCTTCCTTCTCAGCAAAGGGTTTAAAGAGGTAAGATAGCTTGCACTATATGCGGTGTTACTACCACCTCTTTATTACTCCCTCCGTCCTAAAATAAGTGTCCACTTTCAAAAGTGGCTACTTTCCAATTATACCCTTAACTATAAGATTGAGAAATTCATTACTTGAAGGGTACAATTGTCATTTGATTAATTAAAAAGTGTAGTAATTACACAATTCTAAAACTGCGCTCCTTGTGGACTATATGTTTCTAAAACTATGTTTTTATTATCATTGTGGACACTTATTTTGGGATGTAGGTAAGTTTCATCTTTTTGATATATCTTGTGTTTATGTGATTAGGTGTATCATTTACAAGGTGGGATACTTAAATACCTCGAGGAAATCCCGAAAACAGAGTCTCTTTGGGAGGGGGAGTGCTTTGTGTTTGACAAGCGAGTCTCGGTCAAACACGGGTTGGTGCCGGGAAACTTCAAACTTTGCTATGGCTGCAAGAAACCGGTGAGTGATGCTGACATGGAATCACCCGAGTGGGAATACGGTGTTTCGTGTCCATACTGTTATGCTTCAAAGTCCGAGGAAGAGAAGGAGAGGGCTAGAGCACGTCAAAGGCAGTTTGAAGCTTGGGGCGTGATCGGTGGGCCCGACAAAGGTCGCCGGCCACCAAAAACGACAGATGCTAACAACTGGAGTGACTCCCAAATTGCCAAGAAAGATTAAGATTCTATTTCTTTCCGATGCTTAATCTTTATTAGAGACTATAAATGTACCTTTTTGTTCAACGGTTGTTTTTAAGTGGCGAATGTGGTCGGATCTTGAGGATAGTTTCATTTTAGTTTACGTCGTGAATCTGCTGACGTTTGATTCGTTTTACATCGATTGTTTTCTTGTTTTATAGGTGTGACACTCTTTAAACTTGAAGGTGGCGTTTGTTTTTTTACGAGGTGTTGAAGTCTGAAGTCTTATTTCACTTCTGATTTTTAAGAGGTGATGTTGAAGTCTGAAATCTGAATCAGTCAGGCTGTTTGTTTTTGTAAACTGACAAACGTCTGAAGTTTGAAATCTGAATTAATAGTTTGCTTTTGTGACCAACAAAACATATCAATATATATAATTTTTTATTTTACTTCTGTTTGTGTTCCCAAGATTCCCTTAATTCTTTCTTCTTTTCCAGATCAAGCCTTCCATCCTCAATCTCCACCCTCATCCCACCACCATCCACCATCTTCTACCACCACTCCTCTAAAATCCAACGTCCAAATCCACCTCTAAAATCGAAGCAAATATCCATCATGATGAAAACTACAGTGACGAAAACTACAGGGACGAAAATACATTGATTCACGAAGACAAAGGTGCACAACTATTGGTTTGCACAGGAACGAAAACACACAGTGACGAAAACCCACAGGGAAGAAAACCCTCTTGATGTGGATCTGATTTGGGTCGATTTGAAGCCACAAGAGGCGATGGAGGGTGAACTCGATCGATTGAGACGATGAGGAGGGTGAAGCCGATCGAATGATGAAGTAGAATTCGGTTCTCTAGATAATTTTCAGGATTAAGAGGAAAATAAATGGCTATGCTATCACTTAATTTTTAAGAGGAAAATAAGGGATAAATGGCTCTGAAAGAAAAAAAAAAAAAACAAACGGTCTGAATTGCCTTATATCTGACCGAATCAAACATAATTGGTAAAATAAGAGTTTTTAAAAAAAAACAAACACCACCGAAGTCTCGAGATAGTGGCTGAAAATGGAAAGACAAGTTGTGACATATATGTTGAGAGAAAGATCAAGACGAGCCATTAGGCTGTAGTTGTCCTTTGCCCTTGCCAAACTACACTTGCATACGCCTTTTATCTGTAATTTTTATGACATCTTTATCTCTAAAATCACATACAGATAATACGATAACCGGTATCAAATAATTATCACAACAAAATCACGTAACATAATTTCTTTGTGTTTGTCATTTTTAAAATATTAATATCTATTTTTAATCTTTTTAATTTTTCATGTTAGGTGCTCCTCTAATTTTGTATCCTAGCTTCGTCCTTGGAGACAGGACGAGACTAAGGGGTCGTTTATCAAACATTTATCTGAGTAAGCGTTTACCAAGTCACATTACCTCACTGGATGAATATGATAAGGACCAAGAAAATCTTACCCGGTAAGAGCGAGACATGGACTACGAGTCTTGTCCGGTAAGTGAGGGCAACGACTCTTACCACGGTAAGCGCTTACCGGGTAAATTGTTGCATACGATGTCGTTTTGGTGGACTAAACGGGTAAATTGTTGCATACGATGTCGTTTTGGTGGACTAAAATCTTACCCCATAAATAAATGATAATGTTAAATTTTACCCATAAACACTTACCGAGTAAGTATTTGATAAACAACATAAAAATATATTTTTTTGTGTCGACAAAATAATTTAAATAAAAATTAAAAAGATGAGACATGATTGATAAATTAAAAAAAATACAGGTTAATGCGTATTTCATCAACTAGAAGGGTACTCGCACAATGCAGCGAGATATATCTAAATTTTAATGTTTCGTTTTATTTCTTCTCTGGAGACGTTATAATACGGTTTTTATGTGGTTTTAAGAAAAAGATAATGTTTTTATTTTTGAATAAAATATATATTTAAATATATCATAAAATTTCGAAATAAAATATATCAATATTAGTATCAAATTAACTATTTAAAAGTTATTGTTTTTTGTGTAATTTCTTTAATTCAAGTTTTTATTATAATTTAGTTTAGATTTAATAACAAAGTAATTTATTTTTGATTTAATAATATGATTTTTTATAAGAATAATAATTAAGAATTCTGTAAGAACTCAATGATTATTTTAATTATATTTTAAAAAATTTATATTTAAAATAAGATATTTATTCGGAATTTGATTATGAATTCAAAAATAGAGCTTTAATAAGTTGTATTTACGCACAATTTACTTGTAATCTTAAATTTAAAGTAATATGCATTAATAAACAGTACTTCATACATAAAGAATGATTTTTAAGAATTTTTATCAAATACTTTATAATATAGTATAGATACGATAGTTCGAATGGACAATTAATTAATAATGGATTTGATTATAAAATTGATATTAGTTAGAATTAGGCCCAAAACAGACCCAATAAGAAGCATCACGTGCCATTAACGACCAATCTCACGTGCCTAAGCTTTCCACTTTCAACGGCCAAAACCCTAACCACCAATTTTCCAGAAACTTAAATACTCGTCTCCATACGGCTCTCTATCCTCTCTTCCCCTCCCCCCTGCACGTGTATCGTCCACCAGGCTCTCGAACTTCAAGGACCCTCTCCACCGTCCGATCAACTCCACACGTGTGGATCAACGTCTGGTTTTCTTCCTACCTTCCATACCTACAATCGCTTCCTGGCCTTCTTTTCATTTTGTTCATGAAGCGATAGACAATGGAGACCGAATTAATTGAGCTATTCGACGCCGTGAAGAAGGCGGCGGATGCCGCAGCGCTTGGAGCGGGTGGTACGGATTATTTGCCGGAGGAAGATCGGTGTCTTGATGCTTTGAAAGTGCTTAAGAAGTTTCCTGTTAACTATCATATTCTTGTTTCCACTCAGGTAAATTTAATTTTTATGCATTGTTATTAATGCTTTTTCATTTTGTTGCTGTTCGGTCTGAATGCATGCGATTGTGTTCTGTGTTTTTTTTTTTCTGAATATTAATTGGATTTCGAAGCTAGATTTATTTTTAGGATACGTTTCTTTCAGATTGAGAATCAAGGTATTGTAAACCATAAGGCATTCTATTGAAACAACGAAGGTAAAGGTAGAATTTAGGAGAAAGAGAGAGAACGTGAAAAATAGAGTGCAAGACAATAGAAAAATTGGGGCTTGTGAACGAGCTAAGTTTCAATTTGGAGGTTAGGTATTGTAAGAAAAGCTGGATTTGGATTTACACTACTTTCAGTTGGTGTAAGATTGAAGGCCGTGATATTGGCAAAGTTATCTTTCTTAATGTGAAAGTAAGCTACCTTCTTTTGCCTAAAGTGTATCAAGGAAGTAGGTATATGGAGTAATGATTGTTAGAAAATCAAGTCTAGAGACAGTAACTGAGCATACTCTGTATAGCGTATCACTGTCCTCAAGGAAATAATGACCCCACTATGTTGCTGCTGGGTTATAGTGGCTCCTGGATTTACCAAGCTAAGTGATATGACAAACATCAAATGTGTAACATTCACGCTAACATATTACGAATTTGATTGATGAAGAGAAAGAAGAGAAGATAATTACACAGATATTTGATTGTTTGGGAGAAACAGATATTTGTAGGTATCGGATAAAGGAGTTGAAAACTGTCATTAACCGCTAAAAACTAATTTATAATAATTAGTTAAGTTTTTGTAGACCCAAGGCCAAGGTCCTAGGTGCTCAAGTGTCATATTTGATTTAAATTATCAAATTAATTTTCCTCCAGAACCTTCTCTTTTAGTTCCTCATAGGGGGCTGTTTGTCTGTGGCTTAATGAATTTAATGTTCTGCAGCGCTTATTCGCTAAGCCATATATTGGTGTTTCCTTGTGATTTTTATCAAGCTCGTGGTTTAATTGGTCAGCCATGGGGGCTAGCTGTATTCATAAAGCCATCACATTTCCCTCTCCTACTTTCTCTCAAAACCCGCATCTTCCCTATATTCCCCTAGAGCACGCCTCTCATAAAACCGCTCCTCCTGCTGCTGCTCTCGAGGTGGAGTTGCATCTGGAGAAGCTGTTAGAGAGGGTTTGTCGAACGAAGGAACTGTTGGAGAGGGACACCCTTGTCGAGGCTATTGGAGAGGGACACTTGTCGAGACTATTGGAGAGGGACCTCCTGTTTGTGAATTAAAAAAACCCACATCAGATGGAAACCTGGTGATCCAAAAAACCCTAGACCATCTTCTTCTTTTCTTCTTCTCCAAATCCCCCAAGTCAATTCTGAATTTCTCTGCCGTTTTTATGAGCTGCCATTTTTGCACAAGCTGAGAGAATGCTTGAATTTGCTACTGCATCTAGTTTTATTTTTTGGGTAATTACATAAATTGCAATGATAGTGTGGCTCTTGAAGACTGTAGCCTAAAAGCAGCGTTTGTATAAAAAGCGGGACATAAAACCTAAATTTCTGTGCATTGCATGATATCCTCCACCGTTTTCTTTTTCATGCATGCTTTTTCTTCAACCAATGTGAGAAACAGTAACATGTTCCTGCAATGGTCCGCTCTCGTATATTCCTGTTTAGTAAAGATTATACTACCTCCTGGTCAAAATAAATCCAATGTTTAACCGGGGGTATAGTTTAATGGAAGTGTCTGATAATGCCCAAATATACTCCATCAATTGTGACAATAGAAGGGGAATCTACAATCTTGTGGATCAAACCACATGCTATTAGTATTTCATAGTGCTTACTAATGATGAAAGATGTAACCTTAATTTGAACCTTTCAATGCGGAGAAACAATTGCAATTTATTTTGTGACATTAATTCTTATGTGCATATTTGGCTGCTGTTGATTATTTTTACAACATGTGATCTCTTCAGGTGGGGAAGCGTCTTCGCCAGTTAACAAAACATCCAAGAAAGAAGATTCAGTCACTCGCCTCTGAACTGGTTGAGATTTGGAAAGGTGTAATTGTTGAAGAAACATTGAAGAATAAGAAAAATGGCAACATGGACGTCAGGGAATCTCCAAAAGAAATGTCCGAAAAGAAAGTTGATAGGGTCAATTCCATCAAGGCCGAGAAGGTTTCAAAGACGGAGAACGTGAAAAATGGTCATGGTGGCCCACCAATTTCTTCTGAAAAAAAGGTTAATGTTGTCAAGGCCGAAAAGAAAGAGGATAAACTAACTCCCGAGGCAAAGAAACCTTCAACAAATGCCGTTGCTCCCCTGAAGTTGACATCTCTCGTTTATTGCAAGGATCCTGTACGTGATAAGATTCGTGAACTTCTTGCAGAGGCATTGTGCAAAGTTCCCGGGGAGGCTGATGAGGAGTTGAGGGATGAAGCGAATGCTTGTGACCCTTATAGGGTTGCTGTATCTGTCGAGTCTGCGATGTTTGAAAAGTGGGGCCGATCAAACGGGGCCCAGAAATTCAAATACAGATCGATAATGTTCAATATTAAGGATCCAAAAAATCCAGATTTCCGAAGGAAAATACTTCTTGGGCATGTGAAACCAGAAAGGATTCTGGAATTAACACCTGAAGAAATGGCAAGCACCGAAAGGCAGATGCAGAATGTGAAAATAAAAGAGAAGGCGTTATTTGAATGTGAACGTGGGGGTCCTCCAAAAGCCACCACCGATCAATTCAGGTGTGGTCGTTGTGGGAAAAGGAAGTGCACTTATTATCAGCTGCAAACTCGGAGTGCTGATGAACCTATGACAACATTTGTAACGTGTGTCAACTGCGATAATCATTGGAAGTTCTGTTGAGGGATTCAAGTAACTTTTCTGACATTAAAAGCTGCAGCTGTGAGCGATGATCGTAAATGGTGACACAATACGTGATGGCTAAACAGCGTTTTATGAACATTAAGGTTTGTTGCTTTGCGCCAGCCATTATTTTTCATGTTGAACTAGTTATATTCTTTCATTTCCGGTTTTAGAGGTATGTTGGTTTCTTAATTGCTGTTAGACACAGGATTTCAGTCGCATTTTTTATGCGCAGGCATGAGGCCATTGTGGCTGTAACCAATAGTTTAGCGTCTTTCTTAAACGTTTAGTTGGGTCACTTGTTTCGATGTATGCTTATTTTCTTGGTGGTTTTATGGTCAATCAATTCTCTTCTTGATTGTTTGTTATCTTAAAGGTCATGTTTTGGTCTTCCTGTTTATGTGTCTTTGCATATGAGCTACATTGGTTTGTAGTTATAGCAGTAGTAAGGCTGCGTTTACATGAGACTGAACAGGACATGACATGACATGACAAAACTCACTGTTTCATGTTTGGCATGATATGGGATAGGACAAAAGACAAAAACTCACTATTACAACTTCGACGTTTTGGCGTGACACAGAATAGGAATAAAACTCATTGTTCCACGTTTGATGCGATATGGTACAGGGACTGGGTGGGGCTTAATGGGACAGACAAAAAACGCTTTTAGGTTCAATTTCACTTTCCAATGGTTTTAGATTGGAAAACAATAACTCAATAAGACACTTGATTAAGGTAGCAGCAAAAAAGTTAAAAATTCTTCCATCATATCATAGAGTAGAACATGTTTTAGGTACAATTTCTGCTGCTAAGCTCTATATGTTTTATCCAAGTCTCAAACGATTGGAAATTGCTTAACTTGCTTTCCTTTGATATTATATCAGAAGTATTCCCTTTGTTAAAGTCTCATGTCGGCTAAATACAGATTATCAAATATCTATCTATATATATAGAGAGAGAGGAGCAATAGATGCAAACCACTTTTATTTGTACAAAACGTGCAAACCACCCTCATCTGTCGATTTCATTGTTCAATCTTATGAAATTTTTTCATGAAATTGTTTAATCATATGAAATTGTTTCATATAATATTTTTTTTTTGATGAAGTTGTTTCATATATGGTTATGAAATTGTTTTATATAATACTTATGAAATTTTAATGAAACTGTTTCATGTATTTCTCTAAAATTAAAATAATGAAGATAATAATGTCCATGATTAACACCCTTCACAATAAAAATAATTAATCAATCTCTCATAATTACAAAAAGTTGAAAAATTATGATTGGTTGAATGAGGTTTGTACGGTTTGTACAAATAACGTGGTTTGCAAAGTAAACCTCCTCTATGTATGTATATATATATATATATATATACATATATGTAGGGTTGGGTTCACGTGAGACCAGCTTGTTTTCGTGAGACCCGTGAGACCACATTTTTACACGTAACCTTCACAGCAAAAACACTGTGAAAGTTTAAAAAAGGTCGAACCTTCACAGCAAAAACACTGTGAAGGTTTTAAAAAGTCACCTTCACAACATTTTGCTGTGAAGTTTCAAGTGTAAAATGTTGGTTTCACATGTCTCACGAAAACAGGCTGGTCTCACATGATCCCAAGTCTATGTATATATATATGTATATATAAGCGTTAAGCACTAGTTCTTTAAGCACTGTTGGAAAAAAGAAGTTTGGATGATATTTTTCTTTATTTTTAACAATTTATATATTCAATATAAATCTAATCATTACTTTGTCACTGATGAAACCATCAATTTATTTTTATCATTGATGAATTGTAAATATTATTATTTTACAACTTAGCTGAAAACTAAACCAAAAAATTACAGCAATACACGATGCATACAGCTAGAAAAAAGTGGTTCAAAGGTATAATGTTGGTATAATATAGAAGGGACCTAGTAAATTGAAATGCAATTGGCCTATTAGCTCAGTTGGTTAGAGCGTCGTGCTAATAACGCGAAGGTCGCAGGTTCGAGACCTGCATGGGCCAACTATTTTTTTATTAAGAGTAAACTACAAATTTGGTCCTTGTATGTTGAAAACAGTTTCGAAAGATCATCGTGTTTTGCAAATACGTCCAGATTTGGTCCCTCCTTCTAACGACCATTAAAATATTCCCTTACATGAGGGGTATTATCGTCATTTTATGTATGCTGAAAACAGTTTCGAAAGATCATCGTGTTTTGCAAATACGTCCAGATTTGGTCCCTCCTTCTAACAACCATTTAAATATTCCGTTAAATGAGGGGTATTATCGTCATTTTATCGATTTTATATTTTTTACCTAATCAAAATCAACTTTACCACAAGGACCAAATTTGTAGTTTATTCTTCCCAAAAAAAACATATCTAGAGATCTTCAACAATTTCATCGACATTTAAAGAGTTATTTAAATTTGTATTTCGCAGACAAAGTCTCATAGTTCAAGTCTATAACATATTCTCAAACCCAATAAAAATTTTGATTTATCAACAGGACCCGCACCAAAAATTGATAACATCTATTTATTAAGATTATTTTTACAGATTTTTCGTAATCTTGATCTCTTAAAAAACATATGAACTATTAGCAATAATTTAAAAACCAAAAAGGTTTGAGATCTTCAGTAATTTCATTGACATTTGAGAGGCTGTTAAATTTGTATTTAGTCTCATGATTTCGGTCTATTATATATGCTCAAACCGAGTAAATCTTTATTTTTGTAAGAGATTAACACGACCTATAATGGAATTGATAACATCCAATAAAATCAAACCCAAACGCTATGAAAGTTCAAGGGCAGATCTATGTAGATTGCCACAGTTTCACGTGCAATCGTAGATTTGGTTGCATGCGCATATTTGATTGTATGAAACTATGAATGTTGAGAATAGGACATGCGCATATTTGATTGTATGCAATTATTAATGTTGAAAGAATAGGACATGCGCATATTTGATTGTA